CTGGAGAGAAGTTAAAGCATCAGCATTTTATTGTCAATGTTTCAATGGAGCTCAGTCCCATAAGATGCACTAAGGTCCATTGAACCGTTGACAATAATACCTACTGTGGACACACACACACTGGAAGTTAACATCAGAGCCCCAGAGCTGTCTGTAAAGCACATAGAGGGCATGCCTAAAGTGACCCATAGGCAATAAGCAGCAATACCCAAATACAAAGACAGACTGGACAGCACTGGGACAGCTAACCCATCACCAGTATGTACATACCGGAAGTCTGGATTACCCTCCGACTGTAACTACAGTACATATTATACTGTAACTGGGTACACAAAAGAGCAGGGGTATTTCTTTATCAAATAGAAGAGATACTGGCGACATATTCTAAAGCAAGGAACCTGCTCTTGGCATCTTCATTTTTTTACATATAACATTTTTCATGGAATACAAACACCCATTTATTTTAAATCAGTTGATTTGATTATGTAGAATCTATATATCATATAAGCCTTTATGTATAAAAATAGCTACTTCTTAATAAACATTTAGGCCAAATAAGCTTCTCTATTCTTGCAGGTTAGAACCAGGCTGGATCCTGACCACTTTCTAATGACCCATACCGATAGCTATTTAGTTGATGGTCATGCCATGTATTGTGACTCCAGTCTTGTGTACACCTAATCATGAGATAACACACTGCTATATATCTAAAATGTCAGATGTGCAAGTAAAGCTAGATCTAGGGAAGAATATTCAGTGAAGAAGAATGACACTGCAGCATTCTAGATAGAAAAACGATTGGTAATGAGTATGACATCAGATAAGCGATAGTCAAAATGATTTTCACGCTTATTGAAAACTAATTTTGTGCATATAATCGTTTTCCAGAAGTGTCGTTAGGACAATCGTTTAGAACACGCGGCAATTACAATCTAAGAGATATCTGCTCATATTCTACAGGCAAACTAGCAGACAGAAGACTGCTGCTAAATGTGTTCTGTTCATTTACTTAAGTTGGCCATATGTCCATAAAATTTCAGAACGTTTGTTCAATTTTCTAATAGTTAATGTGGTCAAGTCAAATATTATTTCAACTGTAGTTATGAAAAAAAAATAGTAAGAGGGGGATGTAAAATTCTTCTCGAACGAATGACATTCTAACAGTGAATGTAGATTTTGTTTAAGAAACTCCATTCATTCCAAAATCTAATGTTATAATAAAAAAACAATTTGAACGACATTCGTCGAGTCTCTGATGGCATTATTGAATGCTGTGATGAGTTTTCATATGAATGTCCGTACGAAAATCTAAGCGCTTATGGCCAGCTTAAGGCTGTAGTCAATCAATCCAATAAATGGATCTGTAGAACAGAGGGAAGCTTTTGCTGGATGAATCTTTTCAGGCTTCCGTTTAATGATCTTACATGCTACAAACATCCTGTACCTGGAAGCATTGTTTAAAATTTCACCTACCGCACTCAAATGTGTATTTTGTTAACAAATGAAAGCAGATCATAAGAGTTTCTGATTCGATCTTTCATATGAAAGATTGTTTGTACAAAAGGATCTTGTACAGGTCTGTTGAGAAGTCTTCTGTCTCTGGGCAGCCTAAAGGTGCCTAGAGACACTAAATGATGTCCAGTCACGCATTTACAATCCGGCTGTGAAACTGTTCTCGAATGTTGCTCGTCTGTGTCTTCGGAGCAGAGAATGGGGCACTCAGGCACTGACTTGTCTTTAGGAAAAACAATACCAATCAGCGAGAATCCATCCTGGCCAACTGACATCAGGGAGGACATATGGACAGACCATCATTCCCTGATCTGACCACCATCAACCAGACAGTGCAGATATTCTACCTAGGTAGTCAACAAGAGCACACGGTGCTTACCCCTAAAACACTCCTCTGTGGGTGACCTCACATTTTTTTTTCAGCACATACAGCAAAATCAGAATAGGAAAAACACAAGATGTACTAGACCCTGAAGACTAAGAAAGGCAGGTAATTCAGCTATTTTAGGATTTGCATTCTACTCTGTTCTGCCTAGTTCAGCTTTACATAGACGTTTATAATGTACTATATAAGAGACCTGTGTGCTTTGATTTGATAACTATGTATGTTCAGTACACCTATTTAAGAATATACTGGGGATTTCTACATTCCTATATGTAGGATTATGTTCAGCTTGTAATGAATATTTCCTCCTAAAGACGCAGTTCAAACCTAAACGTAAGTGGCAGCAAACATCTTTGCAGCTCATGTACATTAGCACCGTTCAGAATGCCCATGTCTTGCTGCTTGGCTTCATTCACTGCAGAGCCTATTGAGCTAGAACTATCATAACAAGCTTATTAAATAAAACAGGGCAAAAAGTATGACTGCAGTAGTCCTCTGCCATGAATGGCATTTCATCATTTTCTTGATACGACCACAGAAAACTGTAATCTGATGTCTGCACTTTGGCACAGTCACTGCACTTTGCACGGCTTCATGAAATAAGCCCATAGAGATTTAAAAAAAATCAAATGGGGGAAAATTGGTCACGACTACATGGTCCATGCATACTGACTGCGCAAGCTCAGCTCTTAAAGTGTATCTCTAGGCAAACGTTTTGGATAGAGTGGAGAATGAGACCCCGTGTGAAGTTATTTCCCCATTAGGAAGATTCACCCCTTTAAGTGTACTGGTGACCCTTGCCACCAAGAAAGAAAATTAGGGGAGTCGAAACTTCTATAGTTATCCCAAGAACAAAACAATAAGGAAATCTTCCAATGAGGACTCCTGTTTCAGGGACAACTGTCTACAGCTGTCCATAGAATGTACAAATTTGCACATTGGGTGCTGCTGTCAGCAATCTTTTGGCCGGTGTTCTATCGAAAGTTCCAACTTGTCGACCTCTCCAATTGGTGACGTCACATCCGGTGAGTGCCAGTAGGGGATCTACAGCAGATGGTGCTAGTGCGCATGACCAGGAAATCCTTGTCGAACTCTCTGCGCAGCTATCCACTTCCATAACCTACTACAGTTATATTTGTCCTAGGAGGTGATAGAAGCCGATAGCGTCGCGGGGGCAGTGGCTATTGCCTCATCGGATTCTATAACCTAGTCAACGGTTATATTATGTTACAGCGCCACATGATTCTTTCTACAACCACAGTTGCCACTGTGCCTGTTCGGCTATTGGCTTCTATAACCTAGGACAAATATAAGTTTGTCCTAGGTTATAGAATCCGATGAGCCGCTAGCCGCGCACTGGCAATAATTAGACAGTTCGACAAGGATTTTCTGCCCAAACGCACTAGCTCCATCTGCACTACATCTCCTACTGGAAGTCACCGGATGCGACATGCCCAGTCGGAGAGCTCGACAAGTCGGAGCTTTCGACAGAACACCGGCATCCCTCGATCAGCTGATGGGAAAATCTTTAAACGAAAAGAGCGGGCAACCTATAAGCTGCTAGCTCTGTTGTGGTAGTCCCACAGCGGCTGCAATGAAGACAGCGGGAGATACCTTGATCAACGCTCAAGCAGGTTGAACGAAGAAAATATTATAGTGTATGGCCAGCTTAAAAGGGAAACTCCCCTCACATTTCCTCTAACTTCCTGTTGCATCTCTGGGACAAGAAGTGAAGACGAATCTCCCCAATAGGAAACAGACAGCAAAAAATGAACTGGCAGGGGGTTAACCCCTTCCCCATAGATACACTTTGACCCTAGTGAAAACTTGGTGTTGCCTCTAAACAACCTGATATTTGCTTTTTTTACCCACAATTTTCTTTGCCCACCTTTCACAAATATAACACTGCTCTCTGGTTTCCAAAAAGGGTTTGCACTTGTTTAATAAACCCCTTTGGAAGTGTATTTTATAATTCAGGGGGATAATATAAACTGACGCTTTAGAGGCAACTGCAGGTTCTAAAAGAAAAGGTGACCAATCAAACTGGTATGGTGCTATTAGTCCACACAAGGCTGACATAACATTGCTATCTGGGGCGGCATACAAACGTCTGGAAAACAGCAAGTGTACAACACAGTTTCTGTAAGTTACCTGTAGTTTAACATCATTTTCACAGTGTTCAATAGTTGACTCTTGGGTTGGAAGCAGTGATTGTAAAAGTTTATTCCCATAAATCTCTCTAGCAGAAATACATCTGCAATAAATAAAAATGATTTGATATATAAATGTATAAAAACTATACGACTTATTTAATAAAACGGCACCTATGGTAAGCATGTGCAGTAGCTCACAGCAAAAAATCACCAGTGGCTTTTAAAAGTCAACTAAAAGCTGACCGATGATTAATTGCTATAGGATGCTGCACCTCATTGCCCCATGCACTCATTTATGAAATAAATCTTTATGTATTTGTAAAAGTGGATCCAAGGTTGTCTACCTCTTTAATAGAGGTGCATCCAGCACCATGTGAGAGGAGAGTTAGTTCCACTGGGTGGAAATCTTTGGAAACCCGGGAGGGGTATGGTGGAAAGGTCTAGAAATTTTACACCAGGACACCATTGTAGCAACATGAGCGGCATTAAAGTGCATTACACAGGATACCTAGCGTCTTGCTAACAATATTAATTGGCATGTGGAAAGATGGTTCAAACAGAGGGTATAGGAGCACTGCGCATTTCTGCCTGCAATGTCATTAAAAGATAACTAGTTACCCCGTATGATTGTCAACACAATATATGTACACCAGGAATTTTTTTCACCAACCAAATAGGTCAGTCCTAATAACCAAGAATATTAAGGATTTCCCCCTAGGGGTTATAGCTTAATGTTTACAATGAACGTTGTTCCCTCTGCTTCTATGACATCATAAGGACAGAAGGCACAGAACATAATGAGAAAACTCTGGCTGAAAACCTATCCTTATGTATATGAATTCTAAGTCCGATTGGATCTTCCCAAAGACAAACGAATATTAAATAAAACACCAATATGTTTAACACACATTGAAGAACCATAGAGCTGGAGCTCAACAGAAACTGGGGACTAACAAGCTACCCTCTTCCCTAAGCATTAAGAAAATAGAAGTAAGGGCGCTGAACTTGGACATCTGCGATGCTGTTGACAGTTTTCGATCTGGCTGGTATTCCATTTCCTCTCTAGTTATGCTTGGCCCTACCCCCCTTCAAATAAGACTTCCAACGGCGGACAAAGTCCCTAAATATTGGTGACCCATCCATACTGGCGAGGAGCTGCAGCTGATTGATGTGGGTAGTGTGATAGTCCCAGCGGGCAAGGTTAGGGGCAGTGCCTAGCATGAAGTGCCTTAAGTCATAGATGCTTCCAGAACCTGTGTCATAAAGAGGCAACATGGCACGAAGTGACTCCAATCCCCGATCGTATAGCAGCCGTGCCTCTTTTCCCTGCTTTTCTCCAGCGGTTTCTTTAAGGTCATAGAGACCAAGCAGAGCATAAATGAAGCCATTCAGCACAAAGGAGCTAGGTGTCGTAGGGTATTCCTCATACCAGTCGTATTTGTTCATAAATACAGCTTTCACCCCATGCTTTTCTGATGGCAACTTAAATGGAGCAGTTGCTCTGAGTGCTGAGTCTAGATACACCTGCTCTTTAGTCAGCAGGTATGCACGGACCAATGTTGAGATTGCCTGCCCCTGTGCCATGGCAGAGTACCATCCTGGTTCCAGAGCCTTAAAACCCTCTCCCAGCTTTCGAGTCACCATAATTGGCCAGCCACCTTTGGCGTCCTGATTCCTCACCAACCAATCACTGGCGGCAAAGAAAGCAGGTGTGTGGGCAGTGGTGGAAATTGTGACATTATCCAGGAAACCGCTGCCCTTCACCACAACGCGGACAACTTTCTTCGGCATGATCTTAGTTTGACGCACAGCCTTGGTATTGGACAGTCCCACTCCCTTCTTCAAGTCCGTCAACAAATCACGGGTTAGTGTGCTCCAGGTTGTCCGAGCCCCAACCCCATAATAAACATCATGGTTATGGAAAGCAATGAGCTGTGTATTGGTCACATAGTGAATAGTGAACAGCTGGTTCTTCTCGGTGGTCTCCAACACCACGGAAATGCTGCCATTAGTCAAGAACTTCAAGTCAAGAGACAGAATGAAGTCTCTGGTGTTTCCCAACGTTAATGAGGCTCCCTCTGAATTTTCTGGCAGAAAAAGCAAAAACTGGAGTAAACAAAGACATAAAAGGCAACCAATTCAATGCATGAAATTGATACTTCATTATCATATGGGAAGAAAACAATCTTATGATCATGTGTTTGGTACAAACACTCAAAGCGTACGTAGGTTAGGTATACAGTAGACAAAGTTTAACAGAAATATCTGCAGCCACCATATAGATCACAGATCTCCAAGATGACTGAAGACATTTGTATTCAACTCGAATCCATTAACATTCCATGGGTACACTGCAATTAAAGAGTGGCATATTGCAAAACATCAGTCACCACAACATTCAGGGAGGTTATTATTTTCCTGCATAAAATTGTCTGGATTACATGGCTAAAAGTGGTGAAAACAATCACAAGCTGCAAACAAAAAAAACCAAAAAATTCTGATGGGCGGCTTTCATCTCATCTCTAATGATATTATGAATATGTTCAAATACTGCTATAGTACGAGTACATGAATCTGTCTGTAAATTAGTTTCCAGTAATTGTGCACTGAAGGACTTGGGCTGGGAGTCCATTAGCCTTTAATGCAGCAGCAAAACAATGGGTAGGTGACCTCTTTAGCAAGGGATGGAAAAACAAAGAACACAAGATTTTTTTTTGTAATCTTTTTCAACACGAACAATAAAAAAAAACTTCTTAAATTGCATCCAGTTAAAGTTCTCATCACTACGATTTATTGAGCATTAAAAATAACGGTGCACCATTTCACACCGTCTGGCTTTGCTTCTCTAACAAGCTTTTAACGTACTGAGGCCCCACTAATCAATACCCATTAGGATTAACGAGTCAATCACTTCAAGAGACAATGAAGTCACTTTTGTCATCACTTTCTGATAAGCCCTCCAGAGATTACGTTGGAGGACAGCCCTTCTACTGTGCTAATTAATGCAAGGTAGACATCTCACAGTTGACAAATCTTGCTGTCACTAACCAGTAAGAGGAACGCACACAGCTCTGCCTCTAGGCAGGAAACTGGGAAAATGTCAATGTATACATAGGGCTCTGGAGAGGGGGAAAAAAATCCCCATACAGTTCAACCCTGTGCTAAATATATGATACACAATTCCCTCTATGGTCATTTGCACTGCGCTGTTAGAAGCTGGCCTAGGGGCAGGAGAAGTGACATCTTGCAAAAGGTGGTTCAGTTGGGTCATCAAACCCCTAACGGAGTAATTAGTCACCCCCCAGACTCACAGAGAAGGGTACAAGTAAAATGCATCTAAGTCCACATGATTCAGTTTTGCCATCATATTGTCCACTTTATCAGAGAAAAATGTGTAAAAATGTTTCTAAAGAAAAAAGAAAGAACTGGAGCTAAACATTTTTTAAGCCCTTTCTATTATATAGGTCTGAGAAGTGGAGAAAAAAATGTTGTACCATATAAAAATATCTAGGTGGTCTTTTTTTGGGAAGAAATTAAAGCATTTAAACAGTCAATTTCCCACCTACCACCTCGACACCAAGCAGCCCATTTGTTACCACTCTACGGCCTAGTTCAGATGGGTCGACGGCTCCACCAGCCCTTTGAAAAGCAATTTGCATTGGCATGCTTATCAGAGAGCATTTGAGCAGCAGCTGGCCGGTGTTTAGGAGGCAATACTGCCACCTAACTTTTCAATTTTTCCCCTCTTTTTTTTAACCCAATGGGACGGTGCAGTTGCGACGCATTCCCATCAATTGCAATGGTTGCATTTAGGAAACGTCAGCACCTGCTGGTGGGCGGTTGTAAAAATGCAAATCAACCGCCTGTTTTTACCACCTCTTGGCTGCCCGTGTGAAAGAGGCCTAATAGAAAACCATATAAGCTTCCGGGCAGAAACATTCCAGCACAATTTTTTTAAGCTCATTCTGCATTCAAAGTGAACCTGGTCCCAGCTCCCAGCATCAGAGGGAACCTGTTTTTTTGGCAATTACAAGAGCACAAAAGTTTTTTTTCCTTCATTTTTTTGTTAATTGGTCCACTTTAACAACAACCATTCGCACACTCACCTGGAACGACAAAATTCCTGACATGACTCCCTTTCGTCTTATCATAGATTGTGGTCACTGAAGCTCCCTTAGGCACCGACCATGTACCAAGTACACCTTCATTTTTCTCATCTGCCTTCTCATACATCTCCACATGAGGTGGCTTCTCTGTCAAGTTCTTGCTGTAGTGACTTAGCCCATACTGGGCAATCTGGATTGGGTAAAAATATCCCTGTGGACCCCACTGAGTAGACAAGGGAACCCCTAGAAAAGAACACAAAATTTAGTTTGCATGACTATCCATACCATCTTGTGGATGATTCTGGAGGCGAAAGCTGACAGGCATGTTTGGCTCAGTTATCTCCTCACCACCAGAATCATCGGGAAGGTATGAAGAATAAGCATGATCAGATCCAATTTGGTTTCTTAAATATGGTTAAACAATGTCAGTAAAATTGTTCAGGAAGACTAGCTGATTTGGTCTACGTGCGGCTGGATTAATGTTTGCCATTTTCCAAAAAGAAAAGAGTGTAAAAGAAAAAGTGGAACTTTTATGGTCTCCGAGTGCTATATTTGGGGGGTAAGCTTTTTTTTTTTTTCTTACATGGAATCCTTCTGGCCCCTGTGTCTACTGATCATGGTTTTTAGGGGCCAGAAGGGTGGAAATATCTGCTGGATCTCTCCTGTGGGGATATTCGGGACAAAGTTATCAGTCACCTCTGAAGAAGTGGCTCATCATAAAACATGTCAAAGTGTAAAACAAAATGATTTTTTGAAAGTAATACCATTCACATTCTGTATTTTTGTGTGTTTGACCCATGCACTCATAGGGTGTCTGGTTCAAACAATACTAATAATATTATTATTCTGCATTGAGGTACAATGCATTGCTGGGATTTGTAGTTCTATGTATCTAGTTGCCATTCGGCATTGCTGTATAACGTATTGCTGGGATTTATAGTCCCTCTACAGCTTGGAGTCAGTGGCAGAACTACCAGGGGCGTAGAATTTGCAGCTGGGGCCGGGCCCTGGCGCTCCAACACTGCCCTAAAATCATTAGTCTGTATTGTTTTAGAAAAACTCACATGACACGAAAAATATATATCGGTAATTGGTATCGGCGAGTACTTGAGGAAAAGTATCGGTATGCATACTCAGTCTGGAAAAATGGTTTTGCTGCTTCTCTAATATGTTGTTGTTGTATACAATTTAGTATATGTAGGGGGTATTTATTCCTCCAAATCTTCCAATTATGCCACACAGTCTACTCTGTGACATGTAGAACTCTTGTACAGCAGTCCACTAGTGTGGAAAGTCTCCTTTAAGCCTGATCTATAGATATATCACCCCTAGATGATAAATGGGAAGAATGCTTTAATGTTCTGCAAAATTCCACATCTTGTGTCCATGAATGTCGAACACACAAGTCTATACTGTGAACTGTTCCCATTCAACGCCTACAATGTTAACTCAGTTCACAGGAAATATGACCCAGAAATACCCTAAGTGCATTTCACATCCATCTCATTTCTCTGCAAAATCTGACGATGTGCTCTAGTTGCTGCTTTCTGGGACCACATTGCTAAATTCCTCCATGACCATATTGGTTATCCGGTTTCTCTGAAGCCCAAATTACACCTCCTAAAGCAGGGGTAGCAAACCACCGGCCCTCCAAGCTGTGGTGGAACTACAAATCCCATGAGGCATTGCAAGATTCTCACAGCCACAGACATGGCTCCCGAAGAGAGATGCATCATGGGATTTGTAGTTTCACCACAGCTGGAGGGCCGGAGGTTTGCTACCCCTGTCCTAAAGGCAATGGAAGATTTGGTTTTATGCACTTGCACCCAAACCATGGTTGGTGAACATAATTTCTTTGCTAGACAGTCCATAGATAAGCGCTGCATGATGTATGACTCTCCAATAGTTATTCAATCCAACCATGTGGTTAAAGTGACACGAAACTCAGGCGTTAAATCTTAAAATTGCATTCATGTACCTTAACTATTAACAATACTGTATCTTATATGTATATAACAATTACATCTGTGGATCCTCAAATCATCTCTGAATTGGAAAACCCTCATCTCTGGAGGGTGGCTACTTTTGTTCCCCATGGTCCCTGCGTGTGTTGTAAAGTAGTCACCGCTCCAAGCTCACTCCTGTGATGGACTACAATCTCATGTTTAGTTTACTAATTTATATTGTTATATCACAGAAGTGAGCTTGGAGCGGTGACTACTTTACAACACACGCAGGGACCATGGGGAACAAAAGTAGCCACCCTCCAGAGATGAGGGTTTTCCAATTCAGAGATGATTTGAGGATCTACAGCCGAGTGATACACAAATAAGATACATTTTTGTTAATAGTTAAGGTACCTGAATGCATTTTTAAGGTTTAACTCCTGAGTTTAGTGTCACTTAAATGATCATAGAGGTTGTACAAAGTATGGAATGCTGGAATTGGCTCTCCATCGCATAGACAATTAATCTAGCATATACACTACTTCATCCCTGCTTACAAATTGTGAAATCCCGCCACGAGACAGCCCTCTTCCTTTTTGTTTCACATTTTTAAAGCCACTTCAAGCATTCTTCAAAGTGCTGGATTAGATTTAATTACAACGCTGTACATATTTTTAATTAAAAATAAGATTGCAAAGCTCTTTGTCAGTTGGCAGCTTTTTAGGCAAATGTCAAGTCCTTCCAGGAATGTTATATCATATTCTTCTCTCTGTGCTTTCCTGGGCAGCTTTATACCGATTTTATTACCGTAGGTATATTTGCGGTTAATCGATGTACGCAGCCAAAGGAAAAAAACAATAACCAAACAAAAAACAGGGATCAGCTCTAAGGATGACCTTTCTGCTGAACGTGGACATCCGCTATTCAGGTTATGTCCAACAATCCTGCCATAATAGCGATGAGTACAACATGACACCAGGTACGTAATCTTTACAAAGCTGAAGACCACAGCCCTACCAACATGTCTTCTGAGGCCTGCTGGTGCAAGCTAAATAATCATCTAGGATGGTCCAGCATCGTTTTATACCCTTATTGGATTTAAAGCTTCATCAGCAACAGTTACCACTCTTGAACATTTGGGCTCTATATGCCAGAATGGACAGCAGTGTGACAACATGAAGCACCACATTAAAAGGGCAAGTCTCACAAAATGTGAGAAAATTAAAGTGACATTAAACCCTCAGATTTTTTAACATAAAACAATACTGTAATGTGTGCCTTACTGTAATCCATGGTAGTTTCCCTTCTCTTTGATGCTCTTCCTTTTAAATCTGTATCTGTTCTCATGCTTGGAGAGAACTTCCCTTTTCAGCAGACTGCCTTGTCTCAAACGGTGTCTGTGTATACGTTTCTATAGGCTGTAACTTGAGCCAGCACTACAGGAAGAGGCACTCAGCTGAAAAGGGAAGTTCTCCCCAAGCATGAGAAGACATGAGGATTTAAAAAGGAAGAGCATCAAAGAGAAGGGAAACTACCATGGATTACAGTAAGGCACACATTACAGTATTGTTTTATGTTAAACAATCTGAGGGTTTAATGTCACTTTAAAAACTTACCGTCACCACTCCACCACCTCTCCCAGCCCCCACTGTGCATACCTTTGAGTTGCCCCCGCAGCCGATGCACGCTACATACACTGTACTCCAGTCCCGCAGTGATCATTCAGGATAATACTCGCAAATGGTGAACGTTTATTGGTCAGCATGGTCACGTGATCAAGCTGACCAATGAGAAGTGCTTCTTACTTTCAGGACCTGGTCCCCGTGTCATGTGGTACAGTACACAAGCCGGAGGGGGAAGCTCAAAAGGTGTGCACACCAGGGGCTGGGAGAGATGGCAGAGTAATGTAAGTAAGTTAATTTTAACTTTTGAGAAAGTGAACTTACCCTTTAAGGTGATGCTGCACCTTGGCACACTGCTATTCCATTCTTGCATATAGGTATGAACAGTGGGGGCAGGGAGAGGTGGCAGAGTGTTATTGGTAAGTTCATTTTCTCACATTCTACCCTTTGACATCTTACTCTTGCATCTAAGCTCTGGGCTCCTGCCTCTCTGTTGTGTAGGTCAGGCCTGCAGCAACAGCATAGTGATGGAAGTGCATAGTTCTAAATGAGAAGGGATGGTGAATTTCAGATTAGCAATGCAGTTATTGGCTGCTACAAATTGCAATAGCCAATAGCAGGCTAGCTATTGCACCCACCCACTGCCTGCTCTCAATCTGCAGAGGAGGGACCTGAAGGAGAAATTTTGGCATGGGGACTGCAGACTCAGATGTCAGTGGTCTCTCCTTACAGGCTGTAATCGGCTACAGCGATCTGTGTCCCCTTTGCCTGCTGCAGCCGATTACAGCCTGTAAGGAGAGACCACTGACAGTCTGAGAGTCTGCAGCAGGGAGGAGATCAGCAGAGTTTTTGCGGTAGCAGCGGCAATGGGAGAAGAAACCGAGATGCAATGAATGGGCTGACAAAAGCCTAGGCGCCAGGACGCAATTTCTCGTCGCATTGGCGACCTGGCGCCTGGGATTTGTCGAGCCCCAATATACATATAACCAAAAACCTACCTTCTACACCGCTGATGCATTTCACTCGATCTCGGACTTCAACATTATACCCCTCGAATGACATGAAGACCCCATCAGAGTGGTACGGGCCTCGTTGTGCATATACTTTGGAGTAGCTGTGAGAAAATTCAAATCGCTCAAATCCATCATACTGGGCAACCTTTCCATAAACCTCAAAATATTTCTCCATCCATGAGAAGGGCATGTACACCTCACTGCCCTCTCTCCGGCACCTAATGGTTTGATCTTCATTAATCACGCAGTCTATCTCCTCATACTTGGGTCCTGTGCCTTTACTGCCCACCAGTGGTGGTGCCTTCTGCTGCTCCTGGGGAGAGGCCTCCTCAGATCTGGGTTGGCCATTGGCAACGTTGCTTTCTGAGGCCGCTGCTCGCTTCTCTAGACTGTCAGCTCGCAGGCCTGATTGTGGCCCCCATGGCAGGGTAGACTGATGGTCATTGCATTTGTTCCACAGTAAGACAGTCACCAATGTGAAGAGAGAGCAAATGAAGATGAGTGTCTTATAGTTGACACGAGCTGCCAAGCAACGCATGTTCACACCATACCTAGGAGCAAGAACAAAAAAGGGAACATTAGTATTTTACGAATAATGAAATAAAAAAAATAAAAAAAAAATAAAACTTCACTGTCACTGGAATAATATTTTGAAACATTTAAAGGAATTAGAGATTTGTATTTGGTAAAAGAATAAGGAGCTTGTGCATATTGGACTAGGTGGAGTTTTGTAAAGACCAGATATTCTCAGACATGTAAAAAGGTATTTCCAGGGAAATTCCCTTCGTTCATAGAAGTGATAGCAGAGGTCACTCCCCAAACGTTCTATACTTATCCAGATCATACATCTTCAAGAACTCTGGGCAAATAAAATCTTAACCCTTGCAGTGGGGCTACCCCCACACTGCAAGGGTTAAGTGCTCATTTTGTATAGGGAGCTGAAATAACTTGGCTTAGTTATACTCACATGGATCACGACCTTGGCTGGTTTCTAGACCTGTCCCTTTAGCCTGTCTCCTCCTCCACTCCAGCGATGAAATGTCCCTCGGCATCCTTGCATGCAATATTATATAAAACGTGATGACTGACAGGACCTCAGACTGCCAGAGCAGAGGGGGAAATCAAAATGACATCACATTAAGCAGCAGGTAAAGAGATGCAAAGCACTCTGGGAATCCAGGAAGTTGGGGAAAGTGATGGGCAGACGGAAGGCAGCACTCACTACATAAAAGGGAATATTTTCAAGTAAGCTTGTAAGTATGTCTTCCTATTACAATGCTGTTATAATTAGGAATGCACCGATATATCGGCCACCGAAACGTATCGGCCGAAAATAACACTTTTGGCGTAATGCGGCGCATCCCTGAGTTCTCTCCTCCCCATGTGTGTCCCAGCGGGGAAGAGAGAAAGTGTCACAGGCGGCCGAGCGCTGTGGTAGGAGAGCGCTGTTAACGGCCGGTGTCTCTCCTCCCACACCGCTCGGCCGCATATCACAGTCCGGCAGAGTGGTGTGTGGGCGGAGACAGGCTGCGCTGTCACAGAAGGCTGGGCTCTCCTCTCTGCACCGCTTGATCAGCCTCCTGTGACAGCGTGTCAGAGAGGAGAGCCAATGCAAACACTCAGAGATCGCTGAGTGTATGTAGATGATTGAAAACATGGTATATGCACTACATCCTCAATTATGAATGAATGGGAGTAATCTACATCCACTCCTGTTCATTCATAGTTGTAGTTATTTAACATACTCTGTCCTCATGTTATCAATGAACAGAAACACTCAGAGGATTCCTGTTCATTGATAACAGGGGATAGAGAAAAAGAGATGAGGATTTTGTGTCCTAAATCTCTTTTTCTATTTTAAAAGGGAAATATCAGGGGTCTGTTTAGACCCCCAATACTTCCCCTAAAAGTAAAAAATAAAAAAATTTATAAAAAAAATTAATACAAATAAATATAAAAAAATAAAAAAATAAAAATAAACATTTTCGGTATCGGTTTCGGCCTGACAGTTTTTTTAATTTCGGTTTCGTTTCGGTTTTAAAATTTCCATTTCGGTGCACCTCTAGTTATAACAGGATAGGATGCTGGGACTTTAAAACTCCTTTAAATCCTCCAGCTATCTCCCTAGGCTATGAAATGGCATCATCACTGTGCCCAGGTCTTCCCCTTTCTTCGAGCTCCCAGTGCCTGAAACACATTCAACTGACAGCACCATGAAATGCAGTAAAGAGTGATACCTCTCAGTGCATAACCTCCCAACCATAGACTGGTTTCTGCGGTACAAAGTAATTATGAGAATGTAAATGGAGGCTGACTTCAGGTATCACAGTAGTAAATAAGATACCCTTTTTAAAGTGAATTAATAGGTGTATTTATTGTTTCCTAACATTCAATCACAGAACAGCGAGAACAATGAGTAATAGCAAGGGGCTTATGAGCTAAAAATGGGTGTGCTGCCTGTAGCAGTCTGATTTTAGGTGTCATGAATCTGTTTTATGTTACAAAATGACAGCTGGAGTCTGACTGCCAGAGGAAGAGAAAACACACAATTGTTTTATAACTCCGACGCCGTTACCTATCCCTCCAACCATAAGAAAAAACAGAAAACATGCGCTGCTTACATGTCTAGAGGATAGACTTAAACAGCCCTGCATCAGAGATTTATAGGCGACTAACAAAAAGTGAACAAAGCAAGAGAAATATTAAAAACCTTTAGTCAGAAGTTTCATCTGCTTATATTTAACCTAATGCACCAGTCACAGAGAACATCAAAACTAGGCTTCCAGGTCAAAGTTACCACCTTTATCACCTTTCAGTAAAAATCACATCATCAGTATGCAGGTCTGTATGCAGATATGAAACCATCTCACATTCATTAGGTAAACAAACATTTTTATTTTACTTACAATGACTGTTTTTCCACTTCCTGGTCCTCTTGGGCATTAGTGATATGATGTGCCCAAGCATTGCATCCTGGAAAAGATACAGCAGCAGAGCATTGCTGGGAAATCTCATCTGTAAGCTCCCGAGATCTCAGCTGGCCATACACCTATAGATTATCTGCAGATTTAGTATGGTCAGATGGAGAAAGTTCAACAGATTCCTCCATCTACACTAAGCTGTGTGGATGGAGGAATCTCACACTGGGCCAAGCTCCAGTATCTTGCTAGTCGGCCCTGCAGGCTCTCATCAATACACCTGAACAATGCCTGCGCTTGCAACCAGACTGTTTAGGTATTTTTGAGAGCTAGCGAGGTCAGACTAGCGACATACTGAAGCTTGGCCCAGTGGGAGATTCCTCCATCCACACAGTTTAGCGTAGATGGAGGAATCTGTCGCACTTTTTCCATCTGACCATAGAAAATCTGCAGATAATCGATAGGGGGATGGAAAGCTTAAGGCGAGGTTCACACCATTTTCTGGACCAGATCTGGACCGGAAAAATGGTGTGAACCTGCCTGCAGTTCCAGTGCATTCCAGATCAGACAAAATGAGAAATCCAGTATTTTTCTGGTCTGGTCCAGACTGCGCTGGTGTGAACAAATGCCAGAAATAGCATAGGGATACCTTAGAATGCATTTTGGGCCCGGAAACAACCTGGTCTGTTGATGATCTGGATGTGGTGCTAATGGGCCCCTAAGGTGACTCATGTCATTTCAAAGATATGGGTAAAGTTCCTCTTTAGTGAAATACACAAACATATATTTGAATGTTCAATTACTTAGAAATGGAAAGCAGACCTGCAGCAATAATATTTTCCAAAAACAGTAAATGGACAAAACGCTGCAACTGCAGAGATTTAATTTTTGCTGCCAGTCGACCTGCCGATGTCCACTGTCATCATTGAACTATAATTCTTCTTTCCTGTTGCTTCTACATTTCACTTGTCACTGTTCCTTCTACTATTACTGGAGGGTCCGGAGGGGACAGCCCCCCGCTAGCTGTTCCTGTCCAGTAGGAGCTGTACAAATGGACGATAACACCTTTATAACACTGTGCGAATGGTCCAGCCAGCAGCTGCCCCCCACTCATCCAGCTACTGACAGCCATAAATGAGCATCTGTCAATCAGCGGTGGACAGGTTTCCTATATGCCCTGAGCCTTCAATGCAATTTCTCTTCTAGTGAGCAGTTTTGCCAAGTTTTAGGTTTTAAAATCATGCAGCGGAATCATTTATAGAACGTAAATAGGAGGAAAATTAAACCATTCCAACAAAGCGCAGCAAGCTGAAGGTTGTGCACATAAATCCATACAATGATAAAGTTAAGCCAATAGATTCAGCAACAGCTGACTAAATGCTCCATGTCAGCAGCAGGATTTCTGGACAGAGGCGATAAGACGGAGAGAGCCGCGTCTATTAAATCAGTCTCTCACTGGGTTGTCAGCACAAAACTATCTCCCATACACAGCATCATCCATCCGAATCAGGGAAAGCGCACCTGTTTATAGAGCACTGCCTGACTAAGCTCCTACTGCTTTATATATAAAGAACGCGACCATAAGCCTTGCATCTCCCACACACACAATGCTGTACAATGTGAAAGTCTATACAGCAGGCGGCATCACACCGAGCCATGTACACAGTGTTTGGCAGCCACACATACCATGAATTCCTCAATGATATTGTATACACAGCTGAGCATAAAAGGACCTATGTTTCTCTGGAACTATAAAATCTGCTGGGGCGCTATAAAATCGGCAACACCAACATGAAAGAATGATTAAGGTCCCTTGGGGAACTGAAACATGTTAGCACCCTTGGCGGCTGCTTTTATGCCTTTTCAATAAAGAAAACGCCATAAGAGGATTCCCATGAGTGCCAGCTCTTTTCCACAACATGAAAGTACATCTTAAGTTTTTAAAAGACACCCCCTCCTATTGCGAATCTTTCTAAAAATTGCCAATAGGGTTCATGCACAAGCCTACAAAAAATGCAGCATTTTTCTCTTTGTTTATGGATCTGAACACAAGTGTATAGTGCTACGACTCCAAGCACAAAGATGCAAAAAGGTCAATAAACTTGCGCTGTGTTCAGATTCATCATTTAGAGTATATGAATGTTAACGTTTACATGCGTACATTGCAAATGTATTTAAATGGCGTAAAAGAGCAGCCCGAGTCAAGGGATGGATGCTATGCGGCAGGAGATACCTAGCACTCTTTTGCTGGGACGCAGGTGGCTTCTGGCGCCTAGCACCCTTCTGTTTTTGGGACGCAGGCGGCTTCTGGCGCCTAGCACCCTTCTGTTGCTGGGACGCAGGCGGCCTATCGTGAGGCGTGCCTAAGGTCTGTGGGATGTGACCTCTCAGTTCCTTCCACCCCGTGGCTGGAGATAGAGAAAAATTAAGTAGACTGTTGATGTCACGGCAAGTAAATGTGACTTTTTGGCTTTTGCATTTACTTATTTAAAAAAATTGGGGCCATTTTAGCAGTTAAGGGAACATTGTAAAAATGTGTCTCATGCTGGAGTTCAGCTTCAAATACCAAACCTGTCAGCTGTAAAGGCCAATTCCACCTTTCTGACCATATTTCAAATTATACCCACATTTAG